CAGCAATAGGAAAGCTGTTCTGGGTGGCGGCAGTTAGGAGCAAGGGGAGAACAACAGGGCAGCTGCTGTCCGTGGACTGTGGCAGCAAGTTGGACTAGGGGTGTAAATGAACCAAACACGAACGAACAAAGACCGTGTTCGTGTTCAGTTCGTTTGAAATTAAGTGTGTTTGAAATAGACTCATGTTTGAAATTTTTCGTGAAGTTACTGTTCATGTTCGGTTCAATTTTTTAAAAATATGTTTGAAATGTTCGAATATTTCAAATTCTTACAAAATTATTTGTATTGTTTGAATTATTTGAATTGTTCGAAATCTTTGAAAGAGTTAAACCTGTATAAATTTAATGTTTAAACCTGTATAAATCACAACACAAATGCACAATAACTGAAACACAACTCACAATAAAATCATAATATCATATCTCATCTGTAAAAAATTCAGATCTAGAGGCAATATGCGAGATTTCACTCCCAAAAACTTCAAAAACTAGGCTTCCCTCCACTCCCAAAAACTATGTTTCACTCGAAGAAACTAATTAAAATCTAAAAGAAATATAAAAAATTTAAGCTAAGAGACGAATCTGAAGATAAATATGAAATATTAAAGAAAACATACTCAAAGATGACACATGTCGGTCAATTTTTTGATGATTGAAAATATGAAAATAAAAATAATTTTAGAGATTTAATTTAATATAATAGATATATAGTTTGAGTTTTGAAAGTAGTATGTTTTAATTTTTGAAAAAAAAATGAGACTAAATGGATCTCATCAGTCCAATAGTTTGCATAATCGACATCTATTTGGTCTGCGAACCTTTTATGTGTGATCGACAAGTTTTTCTATCTAATACAAATATTAAATAGGGTTTATTTTACCTAGGTTCTAAGTTTCCTATAGAGACAAACCCTTATAGTTAATTATATCTCAAATGATTAAGGTTACTTGAGAAAACTCTTGATAATAATCAGAGGTACTAGTTTTCAAGATTTCAAAGTTTAGGTTTTCACAGTAGGACGTGAAAAGTCAAATGGGAGTGGCTCAAATATGAACAGTTATTTCAGGAGTCCAAAGGAAGGAACAGGTAGGGGATGTCATAGATCATGAGGAGAAATCTTAGTGACTTCCCAAACTATCCTACTGTGTGACTGTGTTTTAGAGAAGATGTTATTTGAGTGTTCAATCCTGTCAATTTTATTATTTGGGACTTACACTTGCATAATAACTGGTTATGTAAATAGCTTGCAGAGATAAGAGGTTTTACGTCGCTCTTGCTCGGAACCTAAAGCGAGTTAGGACTTATGCTGCACAACCTGGTTGTGCAGGGGCCTAAAAGAGTGTGAGGATTTACGTCGCTCTAGGTGAGCTACCTCGAAGTCCTATGGGTTGTTTAAGCTATGAAAGTTTAGTTGGTGCAGACTCATTTTGCTGTTGTAGAGTGCACAATAGCTCCAGAATTTAAGTGTTTGAGACTGGTGATTTATGTTTCACAGTTTTGGTGTCAATGTTTGGTTTTGTTTTATTTCGATTTTGATTTTACATGCAGAATAAATAAATTGCAGGTAAATAAAATGTACTTGAAAAGTAAAATGCATTAAAGTAAAATGTTGTAGATAAACTGTAAAAGCGCACCGAGGCATCTGCTGCTATTGCGTGATTAATATTGCGAGCGTAGTATGACTTGCGACAAATTTAAATAAACTCACAAGAAAAATAAATAAGGCGAGAAAACCCAGCACGAAAGTCAAAAAAATGAGTCGTAAAAATCACGAGCAAAGGAAACCCTTAGCCACATATGAAAGATCAGGACTGAGTGTAAGACATTGGTAAAAGTGGGGGCTCAGAGCTGGACTGTGTGCTTCCCGATCTTGAACAAGAGTTACCAGTCCGACAATTTACAGAAGACAGTCTTTAACCTTAATCTAAGTGACTAGCCATGGACCTTCATAAATTTTCGCAGAAAAATTCTTTGATTTTCATGCAAAAGCTGTTGTTTAAGTCTTTTTTATGCAGAGTTCCTTTTAACATGCAAAAGAGATTTTTGTTTTATTTTGTAAATATTTTGTAAAGTCGTGTAATCCATAGGTTGGTCACTCTAATCGTGCTAGAACTACTGACAACCTAAGTGCGAACATAAGGGCGTCGGATGCAACCGATCCCACCAAGAGTCAGCGAATAGCATCATCGATCCTTTCCTCTCTTATTGAAGATCGTTTAGGTAGGAGATACTATTCTAATAATCTCACTTCGTATCCCTTGTTTAAGCACACATAAACAATGTTGTCATCGCCCTCGCCACCTAGACTCTAGACTTATCCTAGTCCGGTTATCCATATGTGACATTAACAAATTTCTTCAATTGCCAGGAGGATTTGAGTGTAATATCCGAACTCAAATCTCGGTGCACTGGGTTTCATTGTAGGTTAAGTCATTGAGGGAATTTCGCTGTTGATTTAATTAAGAAAGCATGGACTATACCTCGGTGCATCCTTATGTCCAGTGTCTTAATCAGTTTGTGAATCAGTGCATTCTTATGTCTAGTGTCTGAATCAGTTTGTGAATGAGGGTCAAGTGTCAAGTTTCATTATTTATTCGAAAATTAGGTGGATGAACGCTCACCTAGGGTATGCTCCTAAAATCTAGGAAACATATACTGAGAATTAGGTGGATAGACTCTCACCTGGGGTGTGCTCCTAAAATCTAGGAAGCCTACACTGAGAATTAGGTAGATGGACTCTTACCTAGGGTGTTTTCCTAAAATCTAGAGAGCCTACACTTTAACTTGTGCTTAAAGTGATTTAACGTGTTCTACCCCAATTAAGTGTTTTCCAAATAATCCTCAAATATTTTTAAGTGTCTTTCAAGTAATTAAATCAGAAATTCTTTTTTTTTTTGATTTAACCATGTAACAAAAATAACAAAACAAACGAAAAAAGAAGGCCGACCCACTTCCAAAATTAACAAAGCCAAGGAACGAAACAAGTGAATCGACCTTAAAAAAATTAAATTCTTTCAAAAAGTATAATTAAATCGACCCCTGAGAAAAGTACTTAAATCTGTTCCAAAATAGTGTTTTGATCAGCCCGAATGTTCCACAATTCCGAGTAAAAAAAATAAAGCTCAAAAACCACCAAATATTCTAACAAAGTGCAGCCCAAAAACCATGAAACGGAACCAAAAAGTACAACCCATAATGACACTTTCAAACAGCTCCAAACAATGGGCAATCAGTCAAGAGATCAGTCCAAAATTTCCTCCAAAATAACAAATACAAAAATCACAAATCAACCCAAAATCGGTACCTGAAATGACTCCAAAAACAGTGAAAGTATCGAGCAAGAGCAGCCCCCAAATGATGGGTTTAATGCCCCCAAAACAGTGGGTAGACCAACCCTCAAGAAATTATGTTTAAACCATCCACAAAGAATATATAGTATGCAGCGGAAGAATTCCTTTGTCACACGTGCAAGTATTCAAGTTCCAAATGTGGGACATGTAAACTCATAAGAACTGCACGTTATATATGTATACAAGTGGAAACCTTGTGTTAAGCAAGTAAATGCATCAGAATCGTGTGACATGTAAGAATTGAAGTTTGAGTGTTGGATATGTAAATACATATGAATTGCGTAGTATGTATGTATTTTTTCCTATCCAAACAATCGATTCAGGTAAGCAAACTCTTTTAATCAACATAAGATTCACAATTTCGATAAAAGAAAGACTCTGCAATGGTAAAAAGATTTCAATCATCATCAGCCTTTTAACCATGCTTAGTTGTTCATCACATTATACAATACTCTCAACTTATTATATAATTCAGCTCACTATCATTCAACTTACAAATAACCACAACACTTTACACTAAAACATAGGACAATAAAATCAATCGTTGTGAGAGAGTGCTATAAAACAACACATATTAAATAACTTTGAAATGTTTCCTGAAGTGCAGATGAAAGAACACAACATGCCAATGTAGAGTATAAAGGAAAAAAAAAGGTTAAGAAAGATTTACTAGCATGCCACTCAGTTCCTATGCATTCTACCAGTAAAGAAAAAAAAGATTAGAAGCCCATCACCTTGTGTTTGCAAAAGATCAAAAACTGGAAGAATGTGGTGCGAGACTAGTGCAATGCCATAAGCTGTTATCCTCTGCTTCAGCTGTTGCGCTTAAAAGGACGTACGTGACGGCGACTCGAGAATGCTCGTCTCCTCCTTCTGTGTTCGAGAGGAGGATGGGGGA